CTATATGTCTGTCCTCCAATACATCAGAAGTAAGAACCAATCAGAATGCTTGCATAATTGAGCTTATTATATAAAACCCAACAGATACCTCTGATTATTAACACAAAAGGTTCTTACCTTGAAAATTCACCATAGAACATTTCATTTCCTTCTTCATACAGTCCAAAATTACCAGAGTATTCCTCCTGAGAATAAATAACTAACACTGCAGAGGATTGGATTTAACTTTTTGAGAGGAAGACAGCCTAAAAATACCAAGTAGTGTTAAGTAGAGTAGTCTGTGCCTGTAAATTATCCTTATGAGCAACACTGATGGCTTAAAGGTTTTTTTTTTTTTTAACTCGGGTTTGCCTTGTCAGATACACCACAAATATAGAAAACTGGACTAAAATGATACTGAAACTGAAGGCAGAGACAGAAAAAGTTGACCTGGTCCAAGAAACTTGTGTTACATGGAAAAATGCTAAAATGCCCATGAAAGAAAGAATGGAGAAAGGAAGGAAGAGGAGAATGGAGGAGAAAGAAAGATGGAAGGTCATGTAATCAAATCCTTATAGACTGAGTTGGGCTAAGCTGAAGGGGAAACATTTGGTTCTTGGTCATGCAGTCAGTCTAAACTTACATCCAGCCCTCCTACTCAGTCAATAAGTACACATTATTCACCTGTATACAATGATTTGTCAGATGACTAGTGATATTTTTTAAGTTATCAACATCATATGGTTCAGATGAGGTTCTTAGGACTCCTTCTGAGAAAATATAAATGGTGTATGTATGATCCAGGAGGACCCAGCACCTGAAAGTTAGTAAAAAAAAAAAAAAAAATTTAAAGATCTTGAAATATAATTGTTATTGTTATTCTGTGCAATTTTATTGATTGGTTGATTTCAATTGATCCACTTAAACATTGTGGGAGAGATATTCAAATGAATATGACTGTGCATCATCCTTTGCATTCATTTGATGTTTCTGAGTGAAGAGTAATCAATCAAACTCTGTAAGAAATCTTCCATTAATGTGAAAGATAATGATGAGTTTCCGAAGATGACACCTAACATCTCTGTTCTTTACACAGACTTACAATGTGCCACTAAGTGAAAGTTTCAGCACTGACCTTATATCAAATTTTCTGTTTTTATCCAGCAACAAAGGGTTTTCAATGTACTTCTGTACCACAAATCCTTGTGTCTGCTCATCAACAAAAGCCACAATTTCTTCTATGTCATTAGAAATGAAAATGTCCTTCCCTAGTTTATGACCATATAGAAGTATAAAATTCATATTAAATCTGATTCCTTCAGCACTTGATCTCTGGTGAAACATTTTGTTACAATCTTTATGTTAAGATCTACTGAAGGGCTTAAAATAATATTTTAATATTTCCTAGAGGTAGCTTCAATATTTGATCTGAACATTGAGAATTCACTTGTCAGGTAAACATCAGAAAAGAGGGATTGTTTACATTACATTGGAGATTACTAGAAAACAACCTGAGAAAAATGAAATGAAAAATTTTTAAACAGTTTGACTTGAGTGTTGGTTCTCCTCCTCCTTTAACTACCTGTAATTAGCTATATATAACTCCACTTGTTTCAAAAAGTCTAGGCAACAACAATGTCACCTTTAGCTCCAGATGAAGATTTTGCAATCCAGACTTTCTCCTTAAGGCTGTTGGCAAATGCTTCAAGCTTCTCTCTTTCATCCACATATTTTGCACTGAATTTCATTCTTGAGTCAGATTTTGATTTAAGTTGTGCAGGTAAAATGATAAAGGAAACAGGAATCCATTGATAAGTTTCAGCCTCACTCTGTGTTATTGATCTAACATACCTAAAGGAAAAAAATTGCAATTTACCTTTACATTACAGCCAGTAGAGCCTACTTTTTTTCAAGGAATTTACACACATGGGGAATTCTTTTGATTAATCAAAGTGTTTTTAGTGAATTCAAAAAAGTCATTGTTACAAATTTGATTACTAAAGCTAAAATACTGAGCAAATGGCACTCCTTGTAAAAACTGCATGATTTCATCTTTCATTTGTTCAAATGCAATATCATCCAACTTAATCCACTTACTTCACTAAAGGTACCTTTTTACAGAGAAGATTTTCAGAACCTCTGTAGTAATTGACTGCTTGACACAGCCCTGGAACATGACCTACAAACCAAAATCAAAACAAGCCTATGTGAACATTTCTATCCCCTTGTTTATTGCCTTTGTGTTTCATTATAACCTTGTCAGATCTAGGTAAGAAGATGCTTCAATTCTGCACGGTCTATATTTCTCTAAAAGACCAATTGCAACTCAATATGTGGTGTAA